GTGCATATCATTGTTTTTACGATTCTAATTTAAAACTACAAATGCCGCCAAACTTTTTTTTATACCCTGTTATAGCAAACCTATTAAAATATAATCTGAGATCAAAGAATAGAATATTGTGTACAAATTTTTAGAAAGGCAGTAATAAGTGGGCGCATATGCCAGACGAGTTATAACTTTACTAAATATGGACCACAACAATATTATGATAAACTCGATCACAGGACAGCACAAACATACTAGTAAACTACCCCAGTTTAAAAATCGACAGAGAGATAAATTGGGTTCAACGTCAACGCAACACAAAGTAGGTCATTTTGGTGCAATATATTTTGAACAATTCACTTGCGCGCGCGCGCAGGTCTTTAGCAGAGTAAAACGTAGGACCCAGAGAAAACCCCCCGAGGCCAGACAAGCGCCCTACTCCATGTCACATATGGTGGGATCACTTGACTCAATGACATATACCCCCACCCCTGTCAGTAAAAAGATTCCCACATTGATCGGAGAGGTCTTTTGTGAAAATTAATATTGTTCATGGCTTCTTGCTGTTGACAAGAAAATACAATCATGGAATAGATGGAAATAGAAACCTAAAGTAGGGGAGGATGCCCCGTGCCCCGCCCGACAAAGATAAAAGAAAGGAAGCCAAATATATTTATTCCAACTCTTTGTAGCTTGATAAATGCGAATAAACGTTTCACGCATACGGATATGCTGATGTGAGGTTTTATAACATTTCTATTCGCCGAGATTAATAATCTATATTTATGCGCTGCGGATTAATGTCATCACCCATGTCCGTCCTCCCACCAGCAATTGGCTTGTTAACGCGACAGAGGCTGCAGTTTTTAACGGATTGTTTTTTTTTCTAATGTCGTATGAAGCAATTAGGGGTCATGAGAGGAAAAAACCTGACCGAGTCCCGGAGTTATCCCCCTTCTCCGAGAAATTTGTCAACACGACAGAGGCTGCATAGTTTATTTCTTTCAAATTTGGTGTGAATCATTGGGGTCGTGAGAGGATGAACCCTATCGATATCGATATTCAGCACCCCCCCCCCCCCGACATTCAGTTCGGGAGATACCCTAGCTCTTCCCTAAAAGCCTTGTTATTAATGCAACGCGGTAGATTTCTGTTTTTTAAAAACAGATTTAATTTTTTTTTATATTTTGTTTGAAGTGTTGGGGTCAAGATAGGATGAACCCTACCGATATTCAGTATTCCGCGACCATGACAAACCCAGCTGCTTTTCAGACATCTAAGATTTTCTTTTACAGAGATATATTATTTGTCCTAGCTAGCCCAAAAGCCCGTGAACACGATAGAGATTAGATTTGTGGAAGGATATTATATGTAAGTGGCATTTAGCGATCGGTAAACACATTAACAGAACACAGCTTTTATAACGATAAGAGGATACTTGTCGAAACGTCGTGCTTTTAGAATAAAACTAGTGATTGTATCCCATAAAAAACTGTGTTCTGATATTGTGGAAGGATGACCAACATCCAAGTTATAATCTGCTGTTGAGACACAGCTGCGGCGTGGGCGTATTTACACGCTTTGTGTGGCTATCTAATATAGTATATGGAAACTGGACAGCGCCTCCTAGAAATGTATTTTCTGTTTGTATAAATAAGCTGACGAGCAGCGCTATGCGATTTCTTAAAATGATACAGCAACAAGGCATGGCTATTCGGTTTTACGAACTACTAAACTAGGCTGACCACACACTGATCAGCAGTGAATATTCGCTAGGCCGCGACAATTACTTATAAGCATGACATCGATGCGACTTAATGAGCCACAAATATTAACTTTTTTCCCCCGACAAATTAAATTCTATTAGAAAAATAAATAAAGTCGTTTGACGTATTTGTAGGTAAAAATGATTTCCTATTTAGTGTAAATGGGTATTAAAATGAGTAAAAGACTCCATTCCGCCCGAACTAGTAACCTCTTATGTAAAACAATGCATGCGCCATTGAGCCAATGCTTGACGCCGCGTGATGAGACGTCACGCGTTAAAGGTAGTCATCTTTTACAGAGATATTAGAAAACTTTCGTAATCCTTTGTGAAACAGATTGGGCTGACTAGTTCGGCTGCGGCGTGGCGACAGCGGCGAACTCCGGCGCAAGATGGTGAACATGTCAACTATGGCGGGATAAAATTCATGTTATTTTGGAATGCCATAAAACACTAATTTTAAAGCGTTAAAATTAAACCAAATGTTTTGAAGTTGAATTGGAGCTTCGTAAAACCAGATGTTCATATGTCATTTATTTTTGCTCGGTAATATTATTAATAATAATTTTCTGCTTATTTTGCGGTCACTTACTGAATGTCATAGCTTATCATGTAACCGGTTTACGCCATTTGTTTATCAGTCGGGTCACTTGATTTGCATTGATACTGACTGGTGTACGCCGTGGTAGAAATAAAAACTGGCTCGCCGATCAGTGGACAAATCAAGCATATAATCTTTCGGCATCGGCTTTTGTCTCTTGTTCATATACCGTGGCAAGATTGGGTACTAAGTGACGGTCGACGCCAGGTACACGTATGCTAAATCATAATGGAACATGCTGTTGAACAACATAAATGGAATGGACATTAAATGACCCAAACCCAATCAATGACGCAATCAATGTCACCCATCTACGGTTTTCCCAGCAGGTGGAACCGAGACTGCACCATTTCCTCAGTCAAATACACCTTTCGCAAAATTTGGATTCCATTATAATAGCATGCATGCCTGGTTCGTTCGTTCGTTTCTGGGGTTTTACGTCCACTTCCACCTAAGGTGATATCGTAGACAAATACATGCCTGGGAATCTCAAGAGCTTTTATAACGAGGATGGTTCAGGGGAGCTAACTCAATCAAAGAGGATACAGACCACCAATTCTGTAGTTTCTTTATAGACTTGACCTCTCTATCTCCCCCTTCTCCTCTTTTGTGTGTCAATTGTTGTTCACCTTTTGGTCCAGAATAGAAGAGAAGGGTTTTAATTGCAGTTTTTTCCCATGTTTCAGTAAATATTGATGTCACGTTATTAACCGTTCCGCTTGATTGTATAAATGCAATGGTGTGCACTATTTCGGTATCTGTTGGTTTTGAGGGGGATTTGAGTTTAAATGCGCCACAGTTTTATTTTTTTAAAAACCCCTGAGTAATATGATGATTGTGTATATTGCCATTGTTGTGCTGTGTGTTAGTATTTGTGCAATATCTGTATGAGCGATTACTAATGCATATATATGAAAAGTATTAAAGGGAGGTATTTCCCATGGCTGTAATAAATGAGAATTATTTTCGTCTTCTCGCCGCCACCCCCACCCCTACACACACACCCCATTTACATAATGTGGACGTATTATCCTGTCACCCCCGTCTGTGTGTCGCCTACAGGGCGCAGTTCTTTACGGATTGTTTTCAAACATTGCACAGTATTCTTTATTCCCTAAGGATGATCCCTATTGTTTTTGGTGCATGCCCGACTCCCAGAGGCAGATCAACGCCCATTTTTTTTTGTATTTTGTTGTCTACAGGCCGCATTTGTTAAGGATCATCTTGAAACTTTGCATACTTATTCCATATACCCTAAGGATCATCCCTATTGATTTTTGTGCATGCCCAACCCCCAAGGTCAGAGCCACGGCCAATTTCCTCTGTGTGTGTTTGTGTGTCGCCTACAGGCCGCAATTCTTAATGGCTCGTTTTGAAAACTTTTCATAATTATTCCTTATACGCTAAGGATGACCTCCATTTTTTTTGGTGCATGCCCGACCCCTGGGACAGAGCCACTCCCAATTTTTATCTGTGTCGGTGTAGCGCCTACAGGTCGCAATATGTTACAGATCCTTTTGAAACTTTGCATACCTATTCCTTATACCCTAAGGATGATCCCTATTGTTTTTGGTTGAGCCACACCCATTTAGATCTTGTGTGTTGCCTACAGGTCACAATTTATAATGGATTGTCTTGGAACTTGGTATAGGTATTCCGTATAGCCAATGGACGCCAACGATTGATTTTGGTACATGTCCTGTACAGAGCCACGCCCAACTTGGCATATGTAATTGTTATAGCCTAACGGCGGCAGCTATTAATTTTGGTGTATGTCCCGACCCCAGGAGGACAACCACGCCCAAATTGGGAAGGCCAAAATTCGGACTGGATTATCTTGAAACTTGGTATACTATTCCTTATACCCTAATTGGTGCATGATTCTCCCCGCCCCCATCCCCACTTGGGCGGTGCCACGCCCATTTTTTGTTAATATTTTGTCTGTAAAGAATCTCAGGTTGCAATTATTAACATAATTGGATCCAATTCAGTATGATATTGGTCCATGTCCAACCTCCAGGGGCAGAGCCATGCCCAATTATTGTGTTTTTTGTCTACAGGCTGGGATTCTCAATGGATCATCCTGGAACTTTGCATATTTATTCCTAATACCGCAAAAACAGTAACTATTTATTTTGGTGCGTGCCCTGACCCCCTGGGTCACTCTCACTTTTTGTTAATATTTAGTCTGTAACTTTGCCAAAAGGCTAATTTGTATTATATTTAAATTAAGAAGAAATATATAGGCTCGTTAATCTCTTGGTTTCAATCTGATTAAAACAGTAAAATAGCAATAGATTTTTAACCATAAGATCATTTATAATAAATAATTATTTAAATCATGCCAAATCCTAGTTGTGGGGTTAATTACCTTAATGGTGTCTGTTTGTTCGTTTCATTCGTGCAAGAAGTGTGCTTGTTTTTTAGATCAGAAAAACTAAGGTACAGTAAAACTGAACATACATTATACCTACATAGATCTACCTTATGTTTTGTACATTAAGTATATAGAATGTAGGCGTAATGTATATACAAAGTATACTACAAGGTTTCAGTATGTACTAAAAGATATGATATCTTGATAATAAAACCAATGATTACTCAGACTTTTGTGGAAAAATAATTGTTAAAACGGTGAAACATACCCCATATATTTATCATGACTTTATTATACAGGTCGAGCGTCAGGACAGGACTGACTCTCTCTCTCTCAGTTATTATTTATGAAATCATTTATTTCACGATGGACACCAGGAATTAAAAATAGTTAGTTAAAATGGTAAATGTTGTTAATAATGTCAGGTAAAAACTAGAATGTAGTAAGTCAATTGTTTAAACCAATACCAATCTGATTAAAACATAGATCCTATTTCGTTTCGTTTTTTATAGTTCAAAATTTCGTTTTACTTGTCTTTACTGCACTAGAGTAGGCCATCGAAAGTATAAAAAAACGAAACGTAATATAGATTTATATTTTAATCAGATTGCTCTTGACCTCAATACAGAGTCAAACTAAGATAACAATTTGGTTCAAACCAGTAAAAGACAAACGAAACTTTATTAAAGGGACATTATGGAAGATTAGATAAAGAGCTGGCAGTTCTCACTATGATAGTTAAAAACTAGGTAATGTAAAGGGGATATGTTGAAAATTTCATTCAAATTGCTCCACTCTGAAATTCATCTTTTTTTATGTGACAAATATAGGCACAGTGGTTGTAAATTATTTGGGGGACAGTTGTTTAATCGTTCGGAAGGGACGAAAAACCGAGGACCCGTGTACACATTGGCGTGCACGCAAAAGATCCCTTATCAGTTGGATTTCAATATAAGAGTAGGCCGTAGTGCCGTTGTATGGGCACAATTTTCCTCATAGCACACTGTATGGCGTATGCCCGTCTTCATTAGCTCAGTTAGGAGCAGAACAGTATGACGTTAAACCTCATTTCATTTCATTTCAATTCCTTTAAAGAGGAATTGTAAGATTTGGATAAAGAGCTGCCCATTCTTGCTATACTATAACATCAATTAAGAATTTATAATAAAAAAAATAAATTGAAAACTACAGTCAAATTATTTTACACACAAAACTTTCATTTTTAAATTATTTAGTATCGATCGTTCATGCCTTTCCGTAGAAGTAAATTAATATAAATTCAGATTTTTAATAAATAAGAATTGCTCAATATTTGTAAGTTTTAAGGAAGGCTTATGTGGCGATTCGATGCGACTGAAGTTACTGTGTGCGATGTCCTTATATTGGCACACACTATTGTGGATTAATAAAGGTTATGGTCTATAGAATATTTCAGTATCTTTACAGGCACACTATTCCAAATTTCAATTGATGCTGAATAAATCATCAGACTGTTGGTTAAAAAGCTCGATCATATACCTATATTCTGAAAATTCCATCATCTTCTTCAGAAGCCAAGGACCATATTTGAGTTTCGATTCCTTGTCTGCAGAGCCCGAGTCTACCCCCTCACACTTGGATAAGAAAGAGTCAAGAACATATCCCACATCTGCTGCATAGTTGGGCTCAAAGAAAAATGGTACCGAAAATCGCTCTTCAGGTGGTTCAAGAACTCTGTGTCTAGTGGCTTTGAGGTTGCCATTGGTCATTTTAGACAACATGTCTCCAATGTTCATGACAAGTGAGTTAGGTCGGCTAGGAACATCCATCCATTCTCCAGACTCTAATTTGATTTGTAAACCGGGGAAGTTAAACGTTGTTAAAAGAGTAATAAATCCAGAGTCACTATGATCTGCACAACATACCGTTACATTACCATGTCGTGCTACATCTGGTGGTGGTTCCGTTCGGACTGGGTAATGAAGCAGTCTCAGTGTTGAAAGGGAATCTGGAAAAAATGTTGAATCCAACAAATCTTCTTTTAATCCACACCCAATACACAACAAATGGCACACTTCTCTTCCCGTCCTCATCATACTTGTATAAAATGATGTCATAAAAGTCTTGAAGTCATCTACACCTTCTGTTTCGGGCCATACATTTTTATCAACGAAGAAAGGGTGGATCGATACATCTGTTGCTATGTCTTGCCCTATTTCAAACCCTTCTTTATACGAGATCTCGCCTTTCTGCAATGGAAAGCACCCTCTGTAAACAGATTTTGAATCCGGATTCCAAAGTTTCCTGTAGAGTTTAAATCTGACTTCCTCCGGAAGGTCGAAGAACCATCTGCACCATTTGAGAACCTCTTCTTGGTCAAAGCCTGGAATGTTATCAATATACAGGAAACCAACAGTTTTCAGAGCATCTACCATCGTCTTAGCAACGGCTACTCGAGATTGTTGATCCCCACATTGAGATAAATCTATCACTGGAAGTTTTAAAGTCGCCATATTGTAAAATTACCTGAAACACAAAACAAAATATGAATCAGTTGAAGTTACATGTGATGTATTACTATGGTACTTGCGACGACCATATTGTATCTTGAACTAATCATTTGGTTCACACTTACTTAATGAATTGGGTGATATATAGTAGAATCTGTATGAGCAGCCACTCCTATTCAGCGACATCTCCTTGTAAGCGGTCACGATAAATTCCCCCCGTAGAAATTCTGTTGTTTTATCTCTTTATTCAACGGTCACTCCTCTAACGCGGCCAGCGGTCACTATTTTACTAATAAATTCAACAAAACATCGCCCATTCAACGGCCATTGTTGAATGATAGCATCTTGTCGTTCTTTGTAACACCCCCGCTAATCCCGTGAGTAGTAGTTAATTAACTGGACCCCCACTGATCAGGTAAAAAGAAATGTAAACATAACAATCAACCCGGGATTATCTGTTAATTAATCTTTTGTTTTATTAAACGACTAACCTGATCATTGTTTTCACGCGTAACGACACATTATTTGATACTGATTGAATAAAATAAAAGTACCGAGTTTTGTCACGATCATCTAGTATCTCTCTTAGCGCCTCCTATAATATTACATACAGAGTTACACCCCCTGTAAATAGGTGATAAAATTAGCGATGTTTTTTGTTCATGTGCTTTTTTGATAAAATAAAATGTATTCATCGACTTTTCTTCACAAAAATGGATAAATATTATCGAATGCATCACAATGGCAGACAGTAGTATCGAAGGTTGGTACAAAATGACAAGTTTACAGAAGTTATGTCCGAGATTTGAGTAAAGAATTTTCGTCCGGCGCAAGATTCAGCGACGGCCAAATTTACCGCGTCCAATGCATCTAAGCGTAATATTTAATTTATGTCGGCACAAAAAGCAACGAGATTTATTAAGAGGCCACTCCCGTTAAGTTATGTCCGAGATTTGAGTAAAGAATTTTCGTTCGGCGCAAGATTCAGCGACGGCCAAATTTACCGCTTCCAATGCATCCAAGCGTAATATTTAATTTATGTCGGCACAAAAAGCAACGAGATTTTATTAAGAGGCCACTCCCGTTAAGCGGTCAGTTGTGAAAATTCCCTTGGGTGGCTGCTTAATGCAGATTCTACTGTATTTATATATAAAGAAAACAGTGGTATTTTGGTAAAATCCTTACCATTGTCAAAATATCCATTAAATTCTACCTTGTTTATGACATGTGTTTGGTAGACCACATAAGGTAATCCCCCCCCCCCCCCCCCCCAGGACAGTAACGCCAAAGTCAGTCTATGACCTACAGAAATTAGGGGTTATAAAAGAGGGTGTTGAGCGAAATTCATCAGACCTCACCCAGATATTCCGAGCAGCTATCATCTAAGCGTTATTGAGAACGAGGAACATCGAAGCCAAACTGTTTAACAATAAAGTTGTAGAAACGAACTAACCTGTAGTTTTATTTACGATCACAACGAAAACACAACAAGGAAGTCAAATATTACTACAGTAAGAGTCTATTCGTTAAAACGCATGCATGTCTTTCTTTCAGAAAAACAAATATAGAAGAAGAATATTTGAAGTAGCGAATCCCAATATTGTGATTATCGTTCGACGAGTCCGTAAATTATATGCCCCCATTGTAGCTCACAAAGTTCAACTATTAATGAAAGCTCTTCAAATTCAACTAACTTGATTGTCTCTCAAAATGACACCATCTGTAGTGTACCTCATTTTTCTACCCGAACCGTACTCACTTTGATGTTCTGGAACCGCCTTTGGATGGGATCCTAAATAATTATATATTCATAAATATATACAATGTTATTCAACTATTACAACACTCACCATGAGTAATGAATGGGGTGTAGATTACGGTTAGTTTTATTAGGTCACTTGACAGTAATTTATGGAAACCAATCGTGGTCATTTTATACTCTCAATGGCGAGAAGTCGAGATTATGAGGTGGCCGCAATATGCTTCCAAAGTAATTGAATACACGTTTAAAGGATTATATCAGTTTATTTCTGTACACGAAATATTTCTGGTCGATTGAATTTTGTTGGGTTATGTGGCGCGGGCGAGGCGATAGCTGGGGGTTGGGAGAGAACCGACCCACTGATCAGCCCGATAAGGCCCTTTTATTGGAAAACGCAATAGAGGTTATGTAGTACTATAGGACTTCTTTCTTGTTGTGTTTGTTTCTTCGTGATCGTAACAAGACTACAGCATAAAATAGTTTTACAACTTTATTGCTAAGCTGTAATGGCTTTGCAGGTCCCTTCTTCTCAATAATAATGGCTGCTAGGAATATCTGAATGAGTTCTGATCCAACCGGCTCTACACCCTAATTTATACCCCCTAATTTCTGCAGGTCTTCGATAACCTTGACGTTAATTTCCATCCCATATATGGAATAAACCTCTTTATTTCCCACAACTAAGATTGGAGGCATTACCTTATTTTGGTAACAGCCAGAATTTATATCTTTAACATCTTTACAATCTTAAATATCCTTTCATCTTTAAATCCACATAGCGTTTATGATGAAAATTGAAGATAAATAATTGAGCACTTGTCTAGACTAGTATTGTCCGGTTTTCTACAAAACACTATCAGCAAGATATCAGTTCATTCATTACCAATTCATCATAAACGACGTAACTTCGAGACTAAAAACCGCCCACAAACTAAAATGGGCCCCTAAACTTCCTTAGTAATCCGAGCCTACCATACCCACAGGACAATTATTAAAAGAAAAGTACAGGGCAAGTTACAGTAGCTCACAAAGGAGATCCGTATGGTCATCTTCAAAAATGAATCAGGCTAAGATAGCTGAGTAATCATTTTTCGGGTAACAGGGTTTGACTGTGTCTTCTGATAGAAGTGGCCCTAGTTAAAATAATTTTAGTTTGCTACCAGTAAAAACGACGGGCAAACTTCAAGAGAGTCGAAAATACAAGTTGGCGACCGAAAATGGTATGAAATAGAGTTTGACAAACATTGTTGGCGAAATGACATGGGTCATATTATGGGTTTTGTTGGTCACTGGACTCATCTGTGTTAGTTTCTAATTCATCCAACAAACAGTTGATCCAATATGATGGTCAAAATCCAAAATGGCGATGGCAATAGGTGTGAAAAAAGGGATTCTTTCAATACCAATAACAATATACACTTGTGACATGGTTTAGTTTAAACATGGACCTTATAATACACAAGGTGAAAGGTCCATGGTTTAGCCTCATTTCTTATCTAAAAAAGGTGTACAACTGTACTAGAAGAAATACTGTTTAGAGAGAACTTAATAGGCGCTTGCCCGATTCAGTTTAACTAGCTAACAAATTAGAGCACCTACAGCTGGATGCACTTTAGGTCCATATGTGGTGCCTTAAAGGGTACCATGAGCCATAGACTGTTATATAAAGAAACCGGTTTTATTACGCTAAAAGAGAGACGCAGAAGTCATAAACTCAAATTCATTTATAAAATTATAAACGGCCTTTCTCCATCTTATCTTCAAGAATCTTGACAAAAAGATACATGTTATCAACCTAGTATTGAATGTTTACCACAATATGACTCATTTTTATATAACAATCTGTCACTCATTCACTAATTTGATTAAAGTACATATTAGACAATATGTTTGAATCCCACAACTTGCCAAAGACATTATAGAATATAATGCCATCATTTTTCTCTATTCCTCGTCCATAAATTTGAAAACAATGTCGCAACGACAATATTTCTACAATTGCTCAGGCTTGGTGTTCTGTCGGTTCCCTAAATACAGACTACTATATAGAACATTTTCAAGCCAGCGGATGGCTACGTATACAGTCATGTGAAATCAAATATAACGGGGTGTAACATTCTGCCTTTCTGCACCATCATACGCAGTGCAGCGTGCTATGAACGAAGTTTGCCCGGATAGACCTGCCTAGATAGTATTGTTAATCGACTAAAATTATAAAGACAAGATGTCACTGGCCTGGAGTATTTGTTACATTACATACCGCGAAGAATTGATTACCTTACATATATTGTATATACATATCGTCTGACCAAACGTCAGATAAAATCATCGAAGACACTTATGTTCCCATCTGTAACACGTGAAGGTTTTATAAACTCGAAATGAAATAATGTCACTGCCCTGGAAAAATGTCCAATATAATTCTAGAGCAATTGGTAATTTTGTTTCTTGAAACGACAGATAAGGTTATTTCGTTAAGCCTTTTCTATTTCCACCCATAAAACATATGGTGGATAAAGCCTAATGCATTTAATCCACGTTTATGACTACCTTGGGGTTATTTCTAATCTTGGCAATATGTTACATGCCAAATGTAATATATCCAAATCTGTCGATCTACCACACAGGTAAATACAATAAGGTTTCTCTGCCCTGGCTCGGATACACAATGTTATTATCAAGCAACTCTGGGCGAATAATTGGACGTTCGTTCTGACGGAAAGTAATTTTCAGTCTGTTTTCACTCCAGTGAACTAGAATGACGAGTTCTTTAAGACACGGTCAACCATGGTTACTTTGTATTTTTCTAGTTATAATAGTTTTATTCATTACCACCTTTCTAGAGTTACATTGGCCAAGGGGCTGGATAAACTCAACAAGTGGAACTGATTATGACTTTGTTATCATGTCCAGTATAGATTCTTCAGCCTATGACAATGAATTTATATCAAATTGGACAACGCATTGGTTGTCAACAAGAAAGCGGATTAAATTCATCTTTTTTACAGATGATGTTGAAAAATGGAGGAAATTGTTACCACAAGTTGATGTTATGCCACATACAAGACGAATGTGCAATACTCGACCAACCCTCAATGGAATGTTCGAAACGGCCTCAACATCTTACAGAAGTCACTTTTACATGTTTTTAAATCGGGACTCGTTTGTTTCAACGGATATCCTAGGAGCAAGTCGCGTAATTAATAACGGCGGTTCCACTACACGAAAGGAACCGGTATTAATGATAGCACGAAGTATACTTGTGCCAGATAAACAAGCAGCCTGGCAGGCTTTGTTTCCAGAATCAATGCCGGCAAATTCCAACGTTAAATATTCTCGTGATGGCTCAAGTGATATCTATATGACCAATAGTCAGTTTGAGTGGACTAATATACCGAGCATGATTGCACATGAGACGGCCACGAGTCTTTTGCTCACGGCATTCTCACGACAACAAAGGGTCGTTGTGGTTGACGTCACGAATTCTGTAAATGTTATAAAGATACTCAGAAAACGGGAAAGTCAAAGTTCCTCCAGGCAAATTAATCGCTGTGTGAAAAACATGCTTATAGAATCTGGCATTCAATTGGACACAGCCAATATATGTGGCAATATAATGTGTGTTGGCTTACAGACGTCAAGAGAAAAAGGGAAAGATATTGTGACAAGCCGTGAAATAGCCGACGATTGCAGTGATTGTACCATGGCTCGGAAGGATGGACCTTCATGGCTGCCGAATTAATTCATGTCTGTTAATGAAAACAATTTAATTGTAAAAGAATATGATCTCTTTGATTTGAGTAGAAAATAAAAGTGTCGGTTTTATAAAATGTGATTTGTTTTGCTAAATGCATATTTGTCGAAATTAAGCAATTTACGCCTGCATACAGGGCTGATGTTGTAATATGACTGACCTTTTGTTCAACAATCCAGAGTTTAAAGGGGGTAAATGTCTAACTCATGATTATCCAGAGTCTTTAACATTATTGGCCCATTCCATTCAATAGTAATTTTGTTAGACTGGATTAACCGGGCGCGAGCGACTGCCGTTCAATTTGGACTGCTCACTTATCACTTATTTCGACAAACTACACTTACATGAACTTATTACATACCCATTTTCGTCTCGTTTAGGTTCAAAAGAATAAAGAATTAGCCTTCGATATAAGAGTATAGGCCGTAGTGTCGCTGTCCAGACAAATGTATTTTAAGCCTATTTGCTGATTTCAGGTTTTCGGCACTTTTTATACGTCAACATGTCGTATATTTATGTCGCTCCCGTCCGGTGTCCACGCCCTGGAGGCTGAACAATTATGGCCATGAGACGATTTCCGATAATGACTTCCAGATTTGTGGCCCTTCATATTTAATGTTTTGAGTACTCAACGTCAGTATAGGACAGAATTAGAAGCCAAACAAGTATGACAATTACTTAATGGGTTGTTATTCGTACTTATATTTTAATGTGTTGTAAATGTTTTCCTTACCCACAAGGGGGGTTCGATGGCCGAATGGTTAACGCGTACGCGTTGTATCATAACGTCTGTCATTGAGTCAACTGGCGTGGTTTCGATTCCCCGGTAGTACGTGACAAGGTGTAGGGTAGCCTGTCCAACCCCGTGGGTTTTCTCGGGGTCCTCCGGTTTCCTCCCACTGCTAAAGACCCCTACACGCCCATACGAATTATTGAAATAAAATTAAACCATGTTAGTCCCGAAATTACCTCTTTTGTGTCGAGTGGACGTTAAACCCCATTTCTCTCTCCTTCCCCACAAAAATGCGACACCCTTAAGCTGCTGTGGGCGTATGTTTCGTTGTCTGGCAACATATCTTTAAAATCCACAACAGGCCAATAAATAATATAATAATTATTTGGTGTGAATGGGGTATGCTGCATTGACTGGAATACGTTTTACATTCACGACAAAATAACCTTGTGCGAAAAAAAATAGCATGTGCGATGATGTAGGAAAGGTATTTTACAAGATTACAAATTATCTAAAACATGGCCAAACAGAAATTTCTCCCAGTTCGCTAGGTTTTGTGTATTTGTTCCTTATACTATTGGATGCGTTTTCTAGCTAATGATACTATTTTACAATCTACATTGAAAAAATATTTATTTATTGTTTTAACTGCATGTATTTATATTTTGTAACTAACACGGTGTTTCTTGTTATTTATAATACAGTGCATGCGCGAAAATGCGTGGTCTGTTTTGACAATCACTGGGTTAGTATGTTGAGGTGTTCATTTATATGAACACCTACTTTTCCTCAAATGATCACCTGTGCACGTGCTAAAACAACACATTACAGGTTGATCAGTAACTTGAACACCCGAGTCAGAACAAAGGATCCAGTGTGTAAAATTGTATAGAACTCGTCCTAGCGCTAATTCAAAGAAAGTATCTGATAACCCACTTTACCTGGTTTCAACAAGTTGAGCTCCTTTACGTATGGCTATATTTTTTGGAACCTTAAAAGAGACGAAAATGGTTCTAAAAGAACATACTAATGTAATATGAATGTATGTAAAATGATTTGTATTCAGTGTTTGAAAAAAATATTTGTAACTTCTAATAAATTATGTTAGATGAAATACGTGAATAGTTCAAATTGAACGGCAGTCGTTTACGCCTGCTTGGTCCATTCTACACGTTTCTTTATTATTATTTTGTCCTTTGATCAGCCATTACTAATTACTTCCGCAAAGTCATCTAGGATATGGCACCAAAACCACAGAATACATGACTCGTGTACTGATTATAAAATGTTAATTGTGTCTTAAATATTGGATATTAGAATCCTAAATTTTCACGGCAAGATAACCTCACTATTGATTGATTGATCCGCAGTGAATATTCGCTAGGCCGCGACAATATTTTCGTAATACTCTGTGAAACAGATTGACCCAGTCTTATGGCGGGGTATCGGGTTCAAAATGCAATCTAGAGTAAAAAGCAGAAAGTCAACAGTAAAAAGTAGAAAATCTAAAGTAAACGGGAAAATTCTTATCTAAAAAGGTATTTTTATGGTGAAAACCTATAAATTTATGTACTTAGTCTGCAGAAACATCAAGCTTTTCAACTTTCATGGACATAATTTCTACTTTCTACTATCAACTTTTGACTTTCCGCTATCTACTTTCTACAGTTAACTTTTAACTCTCGACTTTCCACTTCAGATTATCTACTCACGATTTTCTAACGCAGATTTTCTCCAATACTATGGTGGCTGAAAGTGGCCATGTAATTTTTCGCCATTTTCATAACCCGTCAACACGACATAATGAAAGTATTAGTGAGAGCATACGTCAAAGTAGACTTGGATATTAGAGACTTTTGACAAGCGTAAATTCCTGGTCCGCATCGCGTATCCGTATGGATTTTGTGTGTGACGTCATCAATGTGTGTGTATTTCTCATACGTGATACCGCACACGGATGCGGCAGCACGTATCGAACAGCTTTCATACGGAAAGGGTCCGTATAACATCGTCGTCTTTTTATCGCCTCTCTTGCTACTTTTTACCGCCATTTTTGCTACTTTTATACGCTGAAATGTTGTTGCATAGCGTTTTTATGAATCTATGTGTATCCTAGAATACGAAGGTGTATATTTGATGTGATTTTAACCATGATAAAGACGGGAATTTAATCATTATTTTTGATAAGTTTTTCTCGGTATTTTCATATTTTTACTGTTTGTCTGCATGCTGAATGATCTACGTGCTAAATTTAGGGAGGTGGGGCCATGCAAATCTGTAATCTGTACCGTAAAGGGGTATAAACTTTCTGAAATGAGTGAAACCAAAAATTGCTGTCGAGTCTAGGCATTTGTGGCTAGGCACTAGACTAGCACTGATGGTGATTTTGGTAGATAACCGTCGTCATGTACGCGGCACGAACGTCTGTCAAAACTCTAAAACTACACTGACGCAACGTATCACGTATACGATATCACGGATGTGAAAGATTCCGCTTGCCAAAAGTCTATAATATCCATGTCTACTTTGACGTATGCTCTCACTAATACTGTCGTTATGTCGTGTTGACGGGTTATGAAAATGGCGAAAAATTACATGGCCACTATCAGCCACCATAGTATTGGAGAAAATCTGCGTTAGAAAACGGGAGTAGAAAATCTGAAGTGGTAAGTCGAGAGTCAAAAGTTGACAGTAGAAAGCGGAAAGTCGAAAGTCAAAAGTTGATTGTAGAAAGTAGAAATTATGTCCATGAAAGTTGAAAAGCTTGATGTTTCTGCAGACTAAGTACATAAATTTATAGGTTTTCACCATAAAAATACCTTTTTAGATAAGAATTTTCCCGTTTACTTTAGATTTTCTACTTTTTACTGTTGACTTTCTGCTTTTTACTCTAGATTGCATTTTGAACCCGATACCCCGCCATACATTCTATGTTCATTGTCCTCGATTGGCTCGTCTGTCGATTGGCTCGGGGACGCACCATATCGATAATCGGCATTCCACGACCTTCCGGAGTTACCCACACCTCCAAAGAAATCCTTGTGATAGTGTACGTAGCTACATTTTTGAACAATTTTTTTTTTTAAATCTTGGTGCCAAGCATTGGGAGCATCATCAAGAAGACGACCCCTATTGATATTTAGAGTTTTTCAGCAAGTGGCCATGATAATCATTTTACTGCTATAAAAACGGGTCGTAATAAAAATCTCATAAAACTATGTGACCTCATTTATCTGACCTAAAATACATCAATATTTATTGATTTGGCCTGGTTTTTATGATCGTTTATGCTCTTCTAAAAAAACGTTGATAATGGTTTTATCAATGGCCAATTTTCTTTGCCGTATCGAATAATATAGTATATTTTAGGATGGTTATTTATCCATTTTTCAATCTGATTAAAATACAGATCTATATTCCGTTTCTTTTTTTTTATACTTTCAAAGGCTTACACTACATGAGGTCTGACGGGTTGTATTGGGTGGTCGCGTCAGAGGTCATACAAGCAGCTTTTGACCCTATAACGTCAGATATTGATTAATCAACCAGTGCTGACGTTTCTAGTGGTTTACCCACATTATACACGTCAAGAACTCGCTCATCCCTCACATTAACCAGAACGTGGCTTATATAAGAACTCTTCCAGATCCTAGTGTTGTGAAGAAGAGTAAAACAAAATTTTGAACTATAAAAAACGAAACAAAATAGTATCTGTGTTTAATCAGATTGTCCTTTTTTCTACAGTTTTTTTTCCCCAAAACCCAATGGTTATGGTCGTAAAAACACACACTTAATTTATAAAGACACTGAATGATGTTTCTTTTAGTGAAATTTAATAGGAACCGAATACACAATAATAATAATAACTGATATAAAATTGTGATATAACAGATTCAATAAGAATTGTAATAACTTATAATAACTACACAAACATGCAGTAGGTATGCATGCAGTTAAGTGTGTGAGTGTCTTAATAAATTATTACATTAAAAATAAAAACATTTCTAGGTTCTTACTCATTACATAGTTAATATCATTTCCAGGGCCGTAACTAGCTCAGAGCAACGAGTGTTCTAGGGGGGTGCTGTAAAATTGACGGACAATGTATATCTGTGGTCGACAATTTTTTCACAGGGAGAGCGAAACTTTTTGAAGAGGGGGGCTTTGCCCCTCCCCCCTCCCCCTCTAGTTACGTGCCTGATCATTTCTTGATATTTACACTCAGTATAGGTTATCAGGTCGAGATAATAACAATAAATAACATTATCAATACATCAACTTATCTTATTATATTTATAAAACCATTTCTCTACATTCAAAAATAAATTTCAGTATAAGTTTGCTTTAATTAGGTGAACTGATTCTGCAATTATTTAAACATTTTGTATTAGTTTGATAATGTTTTATTGATTTAAATTAAATTGATAACAACAAAGTATTGATAACAATGGTTTTTATAGGGTGGAGGGTATTGCATTTAAAAATAATATATATAAAATCATATACCGGTACATTAAATATTATCATTTATTTCAACTTTAGATTCATATAAAGTATATCTAACAATTTATATTTCTATTAGACCACACTATGATCCTGTGTTACATTTCTCAGAACTTTGATACACTAACTAACTGTGAGAATTATAAACTATTTTATTTTATGATCAGTAGTGGAATACCGCGTTTTATCAGTGAAATAAAAGTGTTATTCCACTGGCTAGTTGTTTTTACCTAAAATGATTGTAAAATCATAAAATAAATAGAACATTTGTCGTTTTGTCGTGAATAACATATTTTATTTCATCTCTAAGCAAGAAAACGTTTATTTTCACTCATGCTACGCATTCGTGAAAATATAAGTTTTCTTGCTTCTCGATGAAATAAAATATGTTATTCACTCTAAAACGACAAATATCCTCTATATATTAATGTCATGAAATGAATGAGATAGATCATTTCATCTATATAATAATTTGGTTATTTTGGGACTAACACAAGATTACCTATTATCAGGTGGTTTCTCGTTAAATGGAGGGAGTTTTTTCTATTAAAGATACATTATGTAAGATTTAGATAAAGAGCTAGCCATACTTGCTATAACAGTTCGAAAATAAATAATGTAAAATGAATAATTTGAAAATTTCATTCCAATTACTCTATTGCGAGTGAAGATATTAGCCTTTGAAGCTTTGACAAGACATGTGCAATAATTACCACCGTACTGGTTGTTCGAAGCTACGTCTCGCTCCTCCATTTTTAAATTAAATTAAAATATGGCTGAACCGTTCTAATCTATTTAACATCGGAGAAATCCAATGCCATCGGAAGTTGATTATGGCCTGGATCAGTTAATTAATGCCTAAGTAATTAATAATTTAGAAATCATTTCAGGCCTAAAGAAAGACCTGCCATAGGCAGATTTAGCTCTTGCATAATGTATGTTTAAGCAAGGGAAGTTTAATATCAAAAATTCAAATTCATTAGTTGAGAAACTATATAATTATATATATAGGAAGAGGAGAGAATAATTCCATGTTAACATTTTATTGCTGAGGTTTATATTCAGAGTGACAACAATAAAACATTTACTAAGGTTTTAAAATATGTACAACTTTAATGTTTTCACATGGTCGTTTTGCAATATTATATTTCTAGAAACCAACATCTGGAAGTTATAGACCCTGGTTAAATACGTTTTGAATAATTCAATGTCTGATGGCACAGTGTACAAGTGAAGTTACTTATTACACCTTCTGTTCAGTAGAGATATATAATATATTAAAATGACATATTTACAATTTGAAGAACTGTACACATCAAGGATCATTTGACAGTCTAATTTCTCACCCAGTGTACACCATACAGATATTGTGTACAAGGATTCCCTTGGTAAGCATGTTTACATGCCACATGGTCCAATTTATTGAACATTCACCTTAAAATGACTGCTTTATACAAAAATAAATATAGTTGCCTCCATAAAAGACTTAAACAATAATCATCAGTTTAAAAATATGAATTTGAAACAAATAGGGTAGGGTTTAAACCAAGCCTGGAAATAAGGCATCTGTCACAGACAATGTCAGGCACAGATTCAGGCTTTGTCAGGCACAATATCTCTGGTGCCTGTCATTTTGCTTGGCACTGATTTGTCTTTTTTATTGATATTATTAATACATGTCCGGCACTAAGTTGAAAATCTCAGCTACTATTTTTCGTTAGTGCCTGACATTTTGTCAGGTACATCTCAAACCATTATTTCCAGGCCTGGTTTAAACTCTAGTCATTCTGTGACTGACATATGGTCATTGTCATTTTGGTTTTCCATGGTTCCGAACCACTCGGCACACTCTCCTTGTCAGCTATGCTGCAGCAACCAAAGACCAGGTTTTGTTGGTGATGGATTATTTGCCAATTTTCTATACACCATTGATATTTTGTCGGTTTTGGAACATCATTTAATCCTTGATGTATTCAGAGCTTTATATATATTTCCTGCAAGAGGCCTCAATTTAATTGCTAATAAATCTCTTCACTGATACAACTCAATAAAACTTACTCTTCAAATAACACACTATCCATTGATAACAATTACTATGGTAAATTTCACTGCAACGTTTCAACAATATTTCACAAGTTGTTATCAAGCGTATAGTACAAAAAAATGTGTTATATGCTTGATAACGACTTGTGAAATCTTGTTGAAATGTCGCAGTGAAATAAACCATAGTAATTGTTATTCCATAAACAGTGTGTTATTTGATTATGTTCCAATTACTAAATGCCATTCAAAGAAAACTTACTCTTAACTATAATTCAACTTCCTGTATACAGAGTAATGTAACAATAGAGATGAATTAGTAAATGCCTATTTTGGAATGCAAACACAAATCCATTAATCTAAATAAAAGAATTGAACAATGAATTCAAATTATTATACTTAAAATATAAATTGTCATTCATAAATCTGATAAAAAAGGAAAACCAAATACTCCTTTCAGACAGTTACAAAATTAGTTACTTCAAAATTTGTCCAATTTTGTCAGTTCAGACAAACAGCTTATTTTATAGAATTATTTAGCCTATAAATAAATCTGCACTCAGTGACTTCTGAAATTAAAATATTACTATAACCTTTTGTTATATATTTCAAGTAAAGGACTTAAATTCATTCTTCAATTATTTACAATATTTAACAAAGATTTGACACTTTAAAGAAAATTGCATAATTAAATAACACATAATAAAATAATTGAAAAAAATCTTGATCTCGACAAAGTACCATCTTCACCATTTTACATTTGTATCTATTAAAGGTAATTCCCTGACAATGTTAAATTCATCCAGTTAATTTCCATTTAAGCATAAAGAAACATTTTTTTTCTTCTTTTCAATTTCACAGATACTAAAATAACATAATATCCAGTATGAAATATGAGAGAGAGAGAAATGGGGTTTCACGTCCACTCGACACAAACTAATTAATTTCGGGACTAACATTTTGTTTAATTTTATTTCAATAATTTGCTTCACATAGGGGTCTTTAGCAGTGTGAGTAAACCGGATGCCCCAGAGAAAACCCACGAGGTTGGCCAGGCAACCGGGAAATCGAAACCACACCAGTTGACTCAATGACAGACCTTATGATACAGCGTGCACACGCTAACTATTCGGCCATCCAACCCCCTGTATGAAATATGCATAAAGTGAACCCCTTTTCCATAAAATTACAGAAGTTTTGAGATTTGGATTTTACCTTTATTAAAGGCATATGTAACATAGTTATAGTGAAGCCCCTTTCCATAAAATTACTGAAGTTTTGAGATTTGGATTTTACCTTTATTAAAGGCATATGTAACATAGTTATAGTGAAGCCCCTTTCCATAAAATTACTGAAGTTTTGAGATTTGGATTTTACCTTTATTAAAGGCATATGTAACATAGTTATAGTGAAGCCCCTTTCCATAAAATTACTGAAGTTTTGAGATTTGGATTTTACCTTTATTAAAGACATATGTAACATAGTTATAGTGAAGCCCCTTTCCATAAAATTACTGAAGTTTTGAGAATGGGATTTTACCTTTTTTAAAGGCATATGTAACATAGTTATAGTGAAGCCCCTTTCCATAAAATTACTGAAGTTTTGAGAATTGGATTTTACCTTTATTAAAGGCATATGTAACATAGTTATAGTGAAGCCCCTTTCCATAAAATTACTGAAGTTTTGAGAATGGGATTTTACCTTTTTTAAAGGCGTATGTAACATAGTTATAGTGAAACCCTTTTCCATAAAATTACCAGAAGTTTTGAGATTTGGATTTTACCTTAATTAAAGGCATATATAAAATAGTTAAGAGGGTACTGTATTGAGAGTGAAAAATAATAAGTAAATACATATTTTGATATACATTACTAATGGGTATAAGTAATAACAATTGTCTATTATACATATTTATATGCCCTCAAGATTTATTCCACATAACTACCTTAAAACAGAATGTAACATATTTGATTTTAAGAGTGCCAAATTACAAACGTTAACTTTCATGTTCTAAAGAAATTTTGTGAACAAGGACATGTCACATACACTTCTTGTTTTGAACAATGAATATACATGTACTTATGGGTTTAAAGAATTTTTTTAATAAAATATAAGTGAATATATACAACTTAAAATTAATGCTTTACATGACTATAAATTAATTTTCAGCAGGTAAGTTATTTTGATTTTTATGACCATATATATTCAGTAGGTTAAAGAGAGCATAACAGGAACAAAGTGTTCAGAAAAATATCTTACACATTGTTTTATTACCTTGCGATGTCAAATAAATGACATATTGCGAGATAACATATTTCTTGACAAATGTGACATCAGATCTGGATATAAAGATTTTAATTGTATCTAACAAAATGTCAGGCGCTATGGACTTGAACCTGACATTGTATACTGGCCATGAATTAGAAATTATCAATAAAAATGTGTGAAAAAGATAAATCAGTTGTTATTGCACCTGACGAAACTTAAATTAGTGCCAGATACTTTCAGATTCGATGGACTCTTTCTGCTGAGGATGGTGTCCTTCCACTGCCAATCTGATTAAAATACAGATTCATATTTCGTTTCGTTTTGTTTTATACTTTCGATGGCCTACACTACAGAGGTTGTACGAATGGCTTTTGACCCTATGACGTCGGACATTTCTAGTGGTTTACACACAGCTCCGTGCATCGCACACCAAGAAGTTTCCATAACAGATGGTTTCATTGGCTAATCCCTTACGCCATCCAGAAAGCATGTTATAATTATATAACAACTCTTCCAGATGCTAGTATAGTACAGACAAATAAAACGAAATTTTGAACTATAAAAAAATGAAACAAAATAGAATCTGTGTTTTAATCAGATTGTTCCACTGCGATCTGAACAGATTTTTAATTTTGGGTGTTTTGAGGTAAAGCATTGGAACTATCCTTCCACTGCGACCTGAACCAATTTATAAATTTTGGGTGTTTTAAGGTAAAGCATGGGAACTAAATGATGGATTGTCTTTAATATGTTATAAGTTACATGTATAAAAAAAGATAAACAAAACAAACATGCTCATAATATAATCATCTTATATATCATTAGATTATTCCTAGTGATTTATTCATTTATCAAAATACATATAAAATATTTCTCTAAATATGAGATCAAACAATAAATTACAAAATATTGTTTCGTTTACTGAGGTAATCTATTTTTCTATATTTAATTTTATTTTAAAGTGACAGTCCCTCTTCTCTTAAAGTTGTAAATGAATAAATTGGGTGCTTCAATATATATAGGTAGTTGCTCTTGAAGGTTTGGCTTTGAAATATGTTCACACTCCACAATGCTTTGTTAATAGTCTCTATCATCCAGGAAAATATTCTACGAATATTAGTCTGGATGTGTTGTCAACATTTGAGAATAATAGGTCATTGGCTAGATTATCCAGTCTTTTACAATATCATAAACAAAGTCTAAGGGAGGTAACTAGTCCTAAAACAAGATGTCGTGGCCCATGAAATTAATTTCAGCATACCATTTCAGGATGTCCATTTGATTGCATTGCCAGTTCAATATTCAACACTCTTAATTTTTTTTTTATTGTAAAATTTCTGTCTTCTAAGGCCATACCAATATTTTAAAATTAATCCTAATTTGACGTCACGATTCATGTTTATTTTTAATAATGCAAGAATTAAGGGATTTATTGCGGTAAGGGGCACAACTCTTACTTGACTTGGCCAAAGGAACTAGATAATCAACCACAAAAAAAACCCAACCAAACTCCTGGTTACGCATGGGCAATGGAACTTGTCAAATATTGACAACGGTCCTAGACAATCCGTACGTTCAAGACTAGGAGGTTCTGGGTGACCGAGACTATTTTGTTAATAGATTAAACTAATAATATTTTAAACTTATTACTGCCCCGACATTGTCCTGCTTAGTCTATCACCCAGAGGGAGCAAGACTAGTTTACATTGACAACTTTTCATCAGTATCAGCATGAAATTCAATTTTTATATTTTTAAAGGGAGAAGTTGGTTATTGTCAAAAAATTCAAATATACAAATTAACATTTCTTGTTAATAAATAAAATTCTTAGTAGTGTTAAATATTTTAGAAAGGACTGTCACTTTAAAAATCTAAAATAGATCTCATCATTTGTATTCTTATTGAATAACAAATGAATATGATAATAAATATATAAAACAATCGCACATTAAACACATGCACATCTAGTTAATAGGTTTCTAGTATTTAGCCATTTTTATATATTAATGTACAATAACAATAGCACTATCTATAAAGTATTGGTTTAAACAATTGACTTACTACATTCTAGTTTTTCCCTGACATTATTAAAATACAAATCTATGTTTCGTTTCGTTTTTTTATACTTTCGATGGCCTACTCCAGAGTAGTAAAGACAGGTTAAACGAAATTTTGAACTATAATAAACGAAACGAAATAGGATCTGTGTTTTAATCAGATTGGTATTGGATTAAACAATTGACTTACTACATTCTAGTTTTTCCCTGACATTATTAACAACATTTATCATTTTAACTAACTATTTTTAATTCCTGGTGTCCATCGTGAAATAAATGATTTCATAAATAATAACTGAGAGAGAGAGAGTCAGTCGTGTCCTGACGCTCGACCTGTATAATAAAGTCATGATAAATATATGGGGTATGTTTCACCGTTTTAACAATTATTTTTCCACAAAAGTCTGAGTAATCATTGGTTTTATTATCAAGATATCATATGTTTTAGTACATACTGAAACCTTGTAGTATACTTTGTATATACATTACGCTTACATTCTATATACTTAATGTACAAAACATAAGGTAGATCTATGTAGGTATAATGTAGGTTCAGTTTTACTATACCTTAGTTTTTCTGATCTAAAAAACAAGCACACTTCTTACACGAATGAAACAAACAGACAGACACCATTAAGGTAAACAGAATTAACCTCATAAGATGTTTACAACTAGGATTTAGCATGATTTAAATAATTATTTATTATGAATATCATCTCGTTAAAAATCTATTGCTATTTCACTGTTTAAAAATATTTAAGAACCTTATTTTACAGATGTCTTGTATTTGTTTTTAGCGCCTGTTTTTTGTTGGAAAGTTATTCTAACCAAGAAAGGCATGAAGTTCACTGTCTTGACATCCATACTCTTTAGCTAATCTATAATAAAATAATAATAAATATGGTAATACTGAATAAAATGGAGAGAGAGAGAGAGAGGGTTCCACTTGACACAAACTAGGTCATTTTGGGACTAACATATGGTTCATTTTTTTATTTCAAAAATTCGCTGAGCCACTGCTGCTCCCGACAGATTCACAAGTTGACCTACTGGACACTTCACAATGACATAAATCATCCCTGGCACTAAAAGGGTTAACATAATCTTATATCCTTAAAGCAATGGCACGAGAAATTGACTTCTGATACTTGAGCTTTTGAGAGAGTGCTTCTATTCTTCCCGTTTTATCAAATCTCTCCTAAGTACAGCAACATGACAGCCCTTCGTTTAATCTGGGGTGTTCCGGAACACTTTGGACAGTGATTTACGGTATTAAAAACGGTGAATGTATTGTTCGTCTCCAAGCAGTATTGTTTACATTGTAGCCTTTTTGATAGCCGCGTTTGTCATGCAATTAGTTTTTCTGCAATATTCTGCTATGCACTGGTTAATTGGGCGTAATAAATTTTGTGAGTCATGATGTAATGTTATGTAAATATATCTGGAGCTCTGTTTAAACCCGAATGATATTGGTATGCAGTAGGTATTGGTTGTTAATAGAACTATTAACCAGTTATAATTTGGAACAGAAATTTGCTTTCATTACAGCAATGTTTGAGTGTGATTAGGTCTAATCAAATGAAACACTGCGAGAAGTATGCCGTAATCGAGACAAATTTGGATTTTAATAAAATTTGGATATCTCACCTCATTACTTCTTTAGTAAATGGTGTTGGTCCACATGCACATACTAGTCTATTAACATCATTTTCAGATCTCGGAATAAAATTTTCTACAAATTCTGGTCGAATCCTACCAGTATACCCTGTCCATGTATCATCTTCATTCGATAATATATATGTTACTTCAAACCTATAAATATAAAATACATGTATATCATTCTGTTGAGAAGTTCGCTCGTTCTTCTAAATTGTAGACAATCTATACTTATCAAAAACTGTATTTATATATACATAAAGATAGGTTATTTCAAATACTGCCCTAATACAATCAGAAATATCTAACATACGGTAGATTATTATAAAAAGACAGAAATATAACAGCAGTAATATTATTACAATGGCTGCAGACATTTGGGGGTGGGGGGCATGAATGGTTATGGCGTGGGCGTTGCATCATAAGGTCTGTCACTGAGTCAAGTGACTTGGTTTTGATACGTGACAAGGAGCAGGGTCGCCTGTCCAACCGCATTGGTTTTTTCCAGGTCCTCTGCTAAAGAATCCTACGCGGAAGTGAATAAATAAAATTGAACCACATGTTAGTCCCAAAATGACCTAGTTTGTGTCAAGTAAACAATAAACCCCATTTCTCTCTCTCTCTCTCACTCTCTGCTGACCTTTAGCACTTGATCTTGAAATACAGGACAAGGTTCTATGGAATATTATAAATATAGTTTGATAAAGAATTGACTGCCATGAAATCAGAAAAAGCAATAAAAAAGAAAATTTGCTTAACCATTCCAATCAACAAAAAGACATCTAATAATGTAATGTCAGAGGGTATATATGACATCTAATAATGTAATGTCAGAGGGTATATATGACATCTAATAATGTAATGTCAGAGGGTATATATGACATCTAATAATGTAATGTCAGAGGGTATATGTGACATCTAATAATGTAATGTCAGAGGGTATATATGAAATCTAATAATGTAATGTCAGAGGGTATATAATGACATCTAATAATGTAATGTCAGAGGGTATATATGACATCTAATAATGTTATGTCAGAGGGTATATATGATATCTAATAATGTAAGAAGATATATTAATTATTATACCGGTTTTTATGTTGAATAGCTAATTCATCAAGTTGATCCTTCCATAAAATATCTTCTTTAGTTTTATTGAAAAATAATAATTTCACTGATCTGAAGTAAACAAAACATAATCAAAAGCAGAGCCAAATGGAGAATGACAACTATTTCTTATATACATTTAGTTTTATGTCTCATATAAATTTCAGTTTTATGACTCTTATATAAATTCAGTTTTATGACTCTTATATAAATTCAGTTTTATGACAACTATTTCTTATATAAATAGTGTTTCATGAACAAAGCCTTTTTAGATTCTTTTGTTGCTAAACAGCACTATCATTCAAATCAGCTACAGGTGGCCACAGTAGTTCTATGGTTAAAGTTACAATTTCATATTTTCTAAGAAAGTCAAAACATAATTATTTCTATGTCTTTTGCTCAATAGGTTGTCAACTCACTATTATACGATCATAGGTGTCATTCTCACACTTAAAACTCATTTACACCGGAAATAATAACACAATTACCTCCCTTGTTTTCTATTCTCCACCATGGAGTAGCTCATTTCAAACGTTTAAATTTGAAGATGAAAATGATATTTTTGCCAATTTCTCAACTGGCAATAGTGAATTATAGGATTAATAGGATTATTCTTTAACAAGGTAGGACTGTTTATAGATACCATCTATTTTAAGGCTTTATTTTAATAAATTTTAAAAATATAACTTAAAAATATGAAATTGCAACTTTAAGGTACTGGACTCAAAACTGAATTGTTCTGGTTTATGGAAATCTTCAGATTTTTTAAGTTGGGTTGCCTTTTCAAGACGCAACAAGAAAACGTGGTTTAGTTATTCATTATGATAATAAATTGAACAGTTTAGAATTTTTAAGAGTGAAAATAATAAAGAATAACTTAATGAGTATCTGCTGTTAAATGAACTCAGATACCACTGCGAACAGTTCTTTATTTGTTTATATGTGACCAGCTCTTGCTAAATGAGACACATGTTGCTGGCCCCATTTGTTGCAACACTTTTGTATCTTAAACTTACTGTGTTTTTAATTCCCCATAGCTGAACAGAGATGCATTTGTTTTGCTGGTTTTTTATTGCTATGAAATAAAATGGGGATTATCGTTCTACTGTTCTGCTCAGACAGGGTGCTATGAGGGAAATTTCGCCTAGACAGCGGCACTACAGCCTACTCTTATATCAAATTCCAACTGCCAAGTGATCTTTTGCGTGCACACCAATGTGTACATGGGACCTTGCTTTTTTGTACCATCTGAACGACTATACATTGTCCCTTGCCAGACACACTGTCCTTCACCCCTAACAAGGGGAAACGACATCGGAAAATCACGATAAACTTTCTCAGCGAATGCAGGGATCAAACTCGCATTCTCCAGGTTTAGTGTGGCTCCCCATTTTAAATCCCTTTTACTTAAAATAAATCTTTTGGTGTATACCAATTTTAAACCTAAATATCTTGATCATTTGCTAAGATAACAGCATATGTCACATACCAATTTAAAAGTGTATGAATACAGAATTTAAAATTATTTTTGACCCATGTATCACATTTAGCCACAGCTGGTCACTTACGGGATGCTCGATTGGACGTTCCGCAATTGAATTCTGTCAAACCCCAAAATAGTGACAATAGAGTGAGAATGGGATTTTAGGCTAGAATGCACGCACTGACTGCATGGGAAAATATCTCAACCAACCACGACAGCTGAAACATATTCATTAGGTTTAATCACGTCACGATTCTACTCACACCACCTCAGTTGTTGGGACTGACAGAACTATAACAGGACTGAATTCTGTATCACTCGATTGCAATTCTGTCAATTTGGAACGTCCTGGACTGACAATCGAGCATCCCCTTATATTTTTCAATTTATAAGGGGAGAGAACTGCCACAGAACATTACCTGTATGTTCAAACTGGTCAAATAAACAGATGGCTAATGAGATCGAAGAAACTCAAAAACATCTAAATGAAATGAAATCCAATCTGTCAAATTCTGTACAATAAACCAACCTTTAATTCTGTTATGAAAAATGCCTCAGTATATTTTAGAACATTACGTGTATGTTCAAACTGGTCAAATAAACAGGGTAAACTCAGGTAATGTATTCACCTTTATTGAATATATCTTTTAATTTATGTAATAACTGACTTACTTGATAGTAGAATCCTGTTTAAGACTATGATATAATAATCTTATCATGGGTGTAAAACCAGTGCCTGCTGCATACATTATCAGATGATGACTAGAGGTTAAATATTGTCTATTAAAACTGCCATCAAAATTACTGATTTTTATACAATCACCTGTAAATGCATAACCAAACGTAAACCATTAGATTAAAAAACCAATCATGGGAATGTGTTTATAATAAAACAAATAGTCAATGATATTCAGTTTTTAAAAATCAACAGGGTATGCTATATATGTGGTTTAATGGTCGAGAGCAAGACATTAAGTAATATATTGAAACAATATAAGCTTGAGACCATTAAACAACTTAAAATACAGAAACTCGCACATGCTTTGCAATGAAATACGTCACGCGGGCCCTAACTTTCAACTAGTATAAATAATGTGCACTTGGCACATTGCCCGTACCATTATTTGAAATAATGGTACCCTAACATCAAAGGATGATGTCACATCAGTATTTGAAAAATGGGTTATCAGGAGGTGAGGGTTCTTTACAGATGACCCCCTCTCCATCAGAAAGGACGGGCCGTGGGTCTAATGTTGCCTAACCCCTACAGGAATCGAACCCATGACGGCACCCATTCACCCCGCAGTTGACGGTCCAACATTCTACCACTGAGCTATCATACAAGCATAACAATGAACAATGAAATAAGTAGTGTAATAATTCGTTTAAAGAGTCTGACTCAAATCTAGAACATTTCTTATTACAATCTAGAGCATTTCTATCAACAATCTATTGAATTTCTCAATACAATCTAGAACATTTCTATCCACAATCTAGAACATTTCTATCCACAATCTATTGAATTTCTCAATACAATCTAGAACATTTCTATCCACAATCTATAATTTTTTATACAATATTAAAAAATAATATAATAGTTTTTACCTATATTTAATGTATTTAACCAAGATGTTAATGCTCCATCTGTATACATCTTTATCATTAAATATACAACCCGTCCATCTTCTACATCACAAAGTTTTACTTCTCCCGTTATACTTGGTATTACACATGTATAACTTCGTACTATCTCCATACCTAAAAATAATACAACATAATAGCTACAACTTATATTCAATTAAATAAAATGAAATGAAATGGGGTTTAACGTCCTACTGTTCTGCTCCGTACTGGGCTAATGAAGACGAGCACACGCCATACGATGTGCTATGAGGGAAATTTTCCCCAGACAGCGGCACTACGGCCTACTCTTATATCGAATTCCAACTGTCAAGGGATCTTTTACGTGCACGCCAATGTATACAAGGGACCTCGATTTTTGGTCCCATCCGAGCGACTAGACAGCTGTCCTTTTCAGGCCGCTAAGGGTTCTTTTACTTGCACACCAATGTGTACACAGGACCTTGATTTTTCATCCTATCCAAACGACTGTCCTGACATAGTTTTGTTGTTGAACAAGCCAACAGTGAGGCTGATGTCCCCCGCCGAAATAGGAAAATAATTAGAGGACACATATAAATTTATCACAAATTATCTTTTACAAAGTATTGAACAATCAAACAGTATATCTTTACTTATAGTCTAACAATCAAAGTAGGAGAGTTATTGTTTTCCAAAGTCTCGACCAATCAAATTGCGTATCGCTCTGCTTACCCTGAGCAGAAAATGCTCATTATCAAACTTAGTCAAGGTATTACTGTAATGAAACTATACACCAAGTTTCATCAATCTCACTTAATTAGAACTAAAGTTATCGTGTCCCAAAGCATCAACCAATCAAATTGCTTATCTCTGCTTACCCTAAGCGGAAAATGCTCATCTTCGAACTCCATCAAGGCATTGACCTAATCAACACATACACCAAGTTTGAACATTCTAGCCCAATTAGGAAGAGAGTTATCGTGTCCCAAAGCATCAACCAATCAAATTGCTTATCTCTGCTTACCCTAAGCGGAAAATGCTCATCTTCGAACTCCATCAAGGCATTGACCTAATAAACACATACACCAAGTTTGAACATTCTAGCTCAATTAAAAGTTATCGTGTCCCAAAGCATCAACCAATCAAATTGCTTATCTCTGCTTACCCTAAGCGGAAAATGCTCATCTTCGAACTCCATCAAGGCATTGACCTAATCAACACATACACCAAGTTTGAACATTCTAGCCCAATTAGGAAGAGAGTTATCGTGTCCCAAAGCATCAACCAATCAAATTGCTTATCTCTGCTTACCCTAAGCGGAAAATGCTCATCTTCGAACTCCATCAAGGCATTGACCTAATGAACACATACACCAAGTTTGAACATTCTAGCTCAATTAGGAAGAGAGTTATTGTCGACATTTGGCTCAATGTCGATTAAAATTTCTATGTTACTATACTGATGTACAATAGTAGTGGAACAAGCACATTCTTTATGGGAGTTACCTCCCAGTAACCATAAAATAGTCAATTCTGGAGGTGACTTGTATAATGTAGACTGTATAAACCCTACCTGATATATGATGATGTACATGTACATGATATCCAATAGGTACACACATTCTACAGCCTTCTGGTAGTTGAAGACAGAATAGTTTAGTATCATGATTAACTTTTGATACTGATATTATTTTACTATTATACTGACGAACTCCTGAAATAAAATTAAATACACATAATTATATAATTCATTTCTGGTAATGCTTAGCAGTTAGTTAACACTCAATACTTTGTTTAATTTCTCTCACAGCTGTCACCACGGTCTGTCAGGACCTTATAATTATCTTTCTATTTAAGTTGAACATAATTCTGTAGTTATTTATTATACCGCTCTGTAAATTGTCTGTTATGATTGTTATTGGTGTGTCTAGGACTATACTATATACCGGAAAACACCGAAAAACAACCTGAAAACACCATGTTATACTGAATACCGGAAAACACCGGGAAAACACTAAATACCGGAAAACACACTAAATACCGGAAAACACCCTAAATAGGTTACCCGGAGAAGGGCTATACTGTAAACCGGAAACTAACCCTAACCCTAACACACAGAGGACCAGGCTCCCGGTTACCTATTTAGGGTGCCAGTCTCCGGGTTACCTATTAAGGGTATTTTCTGGCATTTAGTGTGTTTTCCGGTATTCAGTATAAAATGGTGTTTACCGGTTGTTTTCCGGTATATAGTATTGCCGCTGTGTCTACATAAAGTTCTATAATTAAAGTTCTGAATCAAGTGTTATAATTTATGAATAGGAAGAAACCAGTAGGATGAACTGTCTACAACAATAGGAACCCAGCTGCTTACACAGTATGGTGCACATTCTATACATTCATTAAGATGGACATGTATCTATTTTCTTCCATTTATATTACAGAGTCGCAGGTCTAAATAATTCAAATCATTGCAAAAAATGGATTTTTGTCACAAGATCTGAACAGGTAAGGGGCCAAGAAGAGTTATTTGTGATGACCAGTCACCAGAGTGATAAATTTAAGTTGTTAAATTTATAGGGAATTGATGTGATTGGACATATTACCCCAAAGGTACCCCCTGAAATATAAATTATGTCCTACCTGATTCTGATGTTTTCTTATAAGAACAATGATTATCTAGTAATTTACCCAAACTAGACCATTGTTTCTCCATTTGTACTTTAGGTAGAACTATTTCTGTCTTTCCACTATCTTTCTGTACTTTGACTACAATTAAAAGAAAACATATTGCAACATACTTTGATGTAAAGTGTTTTGCAGTACAGGTGTTAAGTGTTTTTAAGTACAGGTGTATGAATACAATTACAACGCGTTTCTCAGGTAAAAAGTATTTTTCAGTACAGGTGTTAAGTGTTTTTCAGTAGAGGTGTAGGAATACAGGTATAAAGTGTTTTTTCAGTACAGGTGTAGGAATACAGGTATAAAGTGTTTTTTCAGTACAGGTGTAGGAATACAGGTATATAGTGTTTTTCAGTACAGGTGAAGGAATACATGTATAAAGTGCTGAGGAATACAGGTATAAAGTGTTTTTTTCAGTACAGGTGTAGGAATACAGGTATAAAGTGTTTTTCAGTACAGGTGTAGGAATACAGATATAAAAGTTTTCCAGTATAGCTGTAAGGACGTAAAATACAACTAACTAAGAAGAAGCTGTAAGGAATACAGCTATAAAGTGTTTTTTCAGTACAGGTGTAGGAATACAGATATAAAATGTTTTTCAGAACAGGTAACATTGTAACCTTTGCCTAATTAAGATAATAACATCAACATGTGTATCCTTACAAAAGCTTCCTCAAAAACATTTTGGAATGTCAGTCAATTACAATAAACTTTGCAAATCGTAATATAAATCATGTTTTTATTTATGGTACGGTATCGTGAATTCACTTGTCTATCCCAGTTTGTCAGTGTGGTATAGATAAAAGTTTATATTTTGAAATAAGGAATAAAACAGCATTATTATTTATTAAGCAAACGTTCCGATTAGTTATTCAGTCAGAGTGACAGCAGATTAACTAACATATAGCAATAGCACCTCCTAGAATTTAATTATGACAAATTAAAAGTAGCTATTTACAAAGTTGTCCAGTATGTGACACGTAAGTTATCAACAATGCTAATATATAGCATTGGAATACTGAGATTTTTAAAAGTTCTCGGTAAAATAGTTTTAGAAATACCTAGCATTTATTTTTAAATTTTCGATAAGAACGTAATATCGCTGAATGCAATTTTCTTCTGTATTTTTCTCCAAGAACGTTGTTGAGGATTTACATAATTTCTGTGATATTTTTTAATATGCTAACATATTCCAAATTCAGATAACTAAAAACAATTGTAATGTATTAAAGATACATTATGGAAGATTAGCATTGAATTTTCGGCCTAGCCTCAATTATCATTACTTAAGTCGGTACCATAAAAAAACATAGTCTCGATTATCCATTTCATGATTTAATCATGAATGAAAGTTGAGCAGCAAATCGGATCCGATTCCAGTAAATACCGCAGGCTAGCCATGACACCGAAAGTTGATTATGGTTTTGATAAGTAAATTAATGTCTAATTAATAATTTAGATAACATTTCAGGCCTAAAGAAAGACCTGCCATAGGCAGATTTAGCTCTTGCATAATGTATTCTTAATAAGGTATGGGGATAGTGACTAATGTGAGATATTTTATCCAATCTTCAATATAATTACTTACCAATATAATCACTTGTTACTTCTTCTTCTAATTCTATAATAACATATGAACAACATCATAATTATTTTGTATCAACAAATCAGAAACTTGGATGTTGACCAGTGATGAGATTTTGCCCGTATATTCCGGACATGTCCGACGCTATATTTCAAACGTCCTAAATTGTCCATCCAAATTTGAAAGCAATCTGTTAAAAACTGTAGCCACTATCGCTTTAATGAACCAATTGCTGACAGAGTGACAGACCAACTGAGATGTGAGCATATAAAAAAGGGGATAATATTAACAAAGTGGCTATTGTTACCTTGAGTCTGAGCCAAGTTTAGAACAAATTCCAAAATGGCTGCCAATCTCCCCAACACCAGCTTTGAAAAAGGAGCAGTATTTTCAACGTTTTCCGAACTGAAGGCAGCAATTAAGAGATGGGAAGGGTTAGGGTTAGGACTATTTTGACGACTATTCAGTTTTTAACTTCACCGATGGAGGGCTATGAAAGCATCGTGGTAACAATAGAATGAGGACTATTTTTACGACTTGTCGTAACAATAGCCACTGCTTAATATTTAATATATATTTACCTGTATGTACAGTAAATGTAAAATCTTGTATAAATATAGAAATCAGCAGCTGTTTACATGTTTTTTCTATTATAACCATATCTGATGTCATTCCAGTCCATTTAGTACACACAACCAATGTTACACATTTATTAGTTTGGTACCAATCAAATCTAAAATAATATAGAGATGTTCACATTAAACCTTGTATTATTTGGGATATATCATGCCTTTGTTCTGTGGACAAGACACATATAAACACAACACATGGACATTGTGAGTCATACATAACAAAAGTAATAACAAATTAAGTGAATGGATCTGGTGACTGGTGCTGTACAGTTCCAGGCCTCCAGTGAAGGAGTCCTCATAAAAATGAAAATAAACACACAACAATGAGTTCACATTAAAACAATAAAAGAAAGAGATAGGGAGATGGGGTTTAACGCCCACTCGACACAAACTAGGTCATTTTGGGACTAACACATGGTATCATTTTTGATCTAGCAGTGGGGGTAACCGGACAACCCTGAGGAAACCCACAAGGTTGGTCAGGCGACCCTATTCCTTGTCACGTTCAACCGGGAAATCGAAACCACGCCAGTTGACTCAATGACAGACCTTATGGTACACCGCACATGCTAACCATTCGGCCATCCAACCCCCCAATGCATAAAACGCATGTATTTATAAAACATGTATAGTCTTATGCTAGGTTTTTAAATGGGTTTTGTATGATACTCACTTTGGTGGAACTGGTCCTGTTGGTTCAGGTGGTTTTAAATTGGTTAAATTTATTGTTCCTACAAAAAAAAAAATCAATGGTAAATTCAGATAAAGGTCAACCTCAATTCAAAAATAAATAGATGACACATTTATCTTTTTGGAAAGCATCAAGCTTAGACGTAGCAGAAATGAAATGAAATGGGGTTTAATGCTCCGAACTGGGCTAATGAAGACAGGTATATGCCATACAGTGTGCTATGAGGGAAATTTTGCCCGGACAGCGGCACTACGGCATACTTTTATATCAAATTCCAAATGTCAAGGGATCTTTTACATGTACGCCAATGTGTGCACGGGACCTCTGTTTTTTGTCCCATCCGAATGACTAGACAGCTGTCCTTGTCAGACTCTTCGTCCTGCATCACTGACAAGGGGGATCCACACCGGAAAATCTGGATGAGCATCTTACCCACTCACTTAGCCACCGTGACCCCCTTGACTGTTCATGATTAATCAAGGTTTTGATGATCCATTTTAATAGTGCCCTGGGTACAATTAAAGATAATAAAATTGTGGGGAGACATTGCAATCTTGAAAACTTTTATTGATTGTTGGACATGGAACGTTAAGAAATAAAATGTTAAAAGTTCTCTTGAAAAATAAATAAGTATATTTTAACTTAAAGTTGCAATTGCAAATTTTCATGTTATATTTTTAAAATGTATTAAAATAGATGGTATCCATAAACAGTCCTACCTTGTTAAAGAATAATCCTATTAATCCTATAATTCGCTATTACCAGCTGAGAAATTGGCAAAAATATCATTTTTAACTTCAAATTCCAACGTTGGAAAATGGCTGCCCCAAGTTGTCAATAGCAAAACAGGGGAGGTAATTGTGTTGTTATTTCCTGTGTCATAGATTTTTAAGGGTGGGAAATAATGCCCATGATCGTATAATAGTGATTTGATAACCTATTTAGCAAAAGACAGAAATAATTATGTTTTGACTTTCTTAGAAAATTTGAAATTCTCGCTTTAAAGATATCAAAGTGGTCATAATCAATATTAACCATCTACATTAGGGTCATTGTCTTCACTACATTTACAGTCTATATGCCGTATGATTTAGGTAAGATTGACCAATTTTTAGCAATTATACTAATTTGTCTTAAACCAAATTTATTTTCTATGACATCATTCTCACCCAATTTACAGTTCATGATCATTATCCCATCATTTAGAGAACCTGGGATAAAATACACTGTCAATACACGGATACCTGGTTTGGTTTCCTTGATAGGAAATAATAGACTGACTTACTGAACTGAAATTTGGTTGAGATTTAGTCAAATTTATTTTTTCAACATTTTAACTAATTTAAAGCTATGCCAAAAGAACTCTCAACATTGCCAGAAATTTAACAGATTTAAATACTTTTTTCCTTTAAAGTATTATATCGATATTAAAGCATCTCATACAAGTCTTTTTTATATATGAAATTTATTAAATAAGTTAAATAAATTATTCATTACCCTACCCACACTGTAACCCAGGCATCGTTTAATCTTGTGTATCTAGCACTAATTTCTTTCACATTCGTTTAATATCAAATTTTTGTTTAAAAATTTGTAAAAACTGTTTAAAATCAACATAAATCGTTTAATTTGTACTTCTGTCCAGTTTAAAGCTGACCATTCAATTTTGATAATGAGTGTCCAATTTACAAGTGTTTAATTTCTCAATCATTGTTAAAAAATAAACAACCCAATTGATTAATGATGTATAATGATTAATTTTTGAACAGTGATCAGGAAATTAAATACTTGTAAATTGGACACTCATTATCAAAATTAATCAGTCAGCTTTAAACTGGACACATGTACAAATTAGATGATTTTTGGAGATTTTAAACGATTTTTACGAATTTTTAACAAAGATTTGATATTAAACGAATGCAAAAGAAATTAGTGCTAGATACACAAGATTAAACGATACCTGGGTTACAGTGCCAATATCATTCTTAAAGGTTTTTTTTTTTAAAACAACGAACAATCAAGAGTGACTCCACAAAGGTTAGTTGGAGTAAAATAGGACTAGAAGGCATTGTTGTAGCTAAAGACTAAGGTGGTGGTTATCAACTGCGGGAGCTACAGTGGCTAAGTGGGTAAGACGTGTGTTCGATCCCTGCACTGGCCGAGAAAGTTCATCGAGATTTTCCAATGTGATTTCCCCTTGTCAGTGGTTCAGGACGGAGGGCCAGACAAGGACAGCTGTCTAGTCATTTGGATAGGATGAAAAAACGAGGTCCCGTGTACACATTGGCGTGCACGTAAAAGATCCCTTGGCAGTTGGAATTCGATATAAGGCTGCCCGGGCAAAATTCCCCTCATAACACACTGTATTGCATATGCCCATCTTCATTAGCCCAGTATAGGAGCAGAACAGTAGTACGTTAAACCCCATTTCATTTTGTTTCGATATCTAATATGTATTTATAAATATGTATCGTAGAGTCGAACTCACCATTAGCACTAAGTTTACTGGATGATATACTTGATTTTGATGCTGTACTGGCTGTAAAAAATAATCTTATTATCAATAATAGCTTTTGTTTTGGCCATTTAGAGGAATATTGTTATTATATTAATGAAATTTGTAGGTTATTGGTAATATAATCAATAAATCTGATTAAAACACAGATTTTCATTTTGTTTTTTATAGTTCAATATTTTGGTTAAAGTGAGGGTTAAGCCAATGAAACGGCCTGTAACGGCGACTTCTTGGCATGCCATGCACGGAACTGTGGGTCAACCACTCGAAACATCAATGCTGATTGATTAATTAAATGTCTGATGTCATAGGGTCAAAAGTCGCTCGTACGACCCCTGACACGACCTTAGAGTACAACTTGTCAGATCTTCATATAGTAGAGGCCATCGAAAGTATAAAAAAAAGAAATGAAATATAGATCTGTATTTTAATCAGATTGTATAATCAATCATTTTCAGGATGAATTCATTAGGACCATAAGTATATGGTGCACAGGATTTTAATGTGAGAGAGTGAGAAATCGGGTTTAACATCCACTCTCCACATAAACTAGGTCATTTCAGGACTAACATATGGTTTAATTTTATTTCAATAATTCACTTGCACGTAGTGGTATTTAGCAGTGGGAAGAAACTGGAGGACCCAGTGAGAGTGAGAAATCAGGTGTAACATCCACTCTCCACATAAACTAGGTCATTTTAAGACTAACATATGGTTTAATTTTATTTCAATAATTCGCTTGCGCGTAGTGGTATTTAGCAGTGGGAAGAAACTGGAGGATCCAGAGAAAACCCACGAGGTTGGACAGGCGACCCTACTCCTTGTGGGTTTTAATGTAAGGTAGTATGTATTTAGTATCAATAAATATATTAACACCAACCTTTTCTTTGATTTTTAACAGAAGTACATAATCTTCCAACGTAACATTTCTCTAACATAGATTCTGCATTCACCCATTTATGAATCTGAAAAATAGATCACGCATACATTTTTTATTCCAAATAAGGAGAACAGATACACTTACATTTCATAATACTATATATAACTTGTCAAAATCTTTATAATGAATAACATCACTGTCACGCACAGACAAGATTCTACAATCAAAGGCAATAACTTGATAAGTAATCATCAGAAATTGTTATTCTTCACAATGATCAAAACAAAGAACATAAATTCAAATCAGATCAGATCACTTGTTAAAGTTCCTACAAAGTGAGTAAAGTTCATAATTCTAGAAGTAATTAACAGAATTTTCTTGAGCGTCGATAATAAGAACAATGCATACATGTATATACTTCAAGCAGGTATTGGACCATGCAAAATGAACCAGGGCCATAACTCTAGAACCATTTTTTGTTGATTGTTTATATTCAGTATGATTCTTGGCTTAAATAACTTTAATAATGAATATATTAATTTCAAACCCATCGGGAGATAACATTTGTTGTTAGACCTTTCATAAGATTCTATAATAATTCTGGAAAGTTCTGCAATACGATATACTTTCTTGACTCACTAATTTTGGTGCAATATAGCCTGGTTTCATTTCATTTATCTCAGTAATGTAAACACCAGTAATAGTGGATACAGCCCCAGGGATATATGATGTAATCCTAACATACTTCCATATAAGATATTGAGACAAGTGAGGAGAGGTGAATAGCCAATGAGCAGCAATGGTGAGGAGACTCACCTAGGGCTTATGATGTTGGGGGTGAGTGAGAAAGGCAGACTGGGCGGTATGCTAACTATAATAAAGTCAATTCTAAACTGAACATCTTCTTGGGTTCGAATCAACAATATGACAATGAGAAATCAGAAATATAGCTTTAAGCCCTTTAATAAAAATATGTGGACGATGGACAGAGGTGAGGGCGATGTCAGCATAAGATCACATTTCAATGTGGGAGTATAAAAATAACAAACCTCATCAAAAAGCTGAGTAGCATCTTTTCCTAAACCTCTTTTCAATTCATCTATGCCACCTGGGTGATATTCCATATATGGTGTTACATTATACACTTTACCTTTCAAAATATAAACATAGGTTAATTGGGTAAAATTCACCTGTTTGACCTCCTGATGTGATCTCCCGATCAAATTAGTAAGATCTATACATCAAAAATATAAAAAAAAAAGAAACAAAATCTATATTTATATTTATTTTATGTTTTTTAAAGATAGGTTCCCAGAAAAGTATTTATCGGGTGGTTATTTCCAATAAAAGTATGGCAATTTTGGTATATATGGAAAGTAGAGATATCCAATCTTACTAGAAAAATACTGGATTCCATGAAAAACACCCACGGAGAGCATACAGGGCAAAAATGTAAGGGTTTCCCTAACTGGCAACCCAACAATTAGTGATGTCCGCTTGAGTAACATAAAAGGTAGCACGTGAAGATTTTCTAATGTTGATGTATATGTTGATAAACTTGATAGTGCAACAGTTTCTGAGTTAAAAACCACAGAAGAAAACTTGGGCAGTGGATAATCCGAGAATTTATTGGGCTTCGATATCTGTAATAAATAAAGACAACATCGAATTCTCCTCCGACTTCGCACCTGTTGCTAGGTACCGAGAGAGGTAAGAAACGTGACATAAACATGACATCTTAGTTTTGATCGATTTTTTATAGCAGGGATATTCACTTACAATTACAATGTTTTGAGAAGGATTCGCAACAAACTTATGATAAATCAATTAGTTTGAATATGTTTTTAGTCCAAATATATCATCAAATCACCCAGTTTGTATGCAGGAATTTATCTTTAAATTTCAATAGATATTGGATTGGTTTATTTTATGGGGTCTAATCATGACCTTCATAGTCAGTACCTATCCAAGGAATATGCCATATGGAATCATACTTTTGGTTTGTTTGTCATGTATGTATGGTTGTGTGTTTTGTATTGATACAAAATGTAACAGCACCACTGAGCAGCAAATTGTTGTACATTACATCACATAAGAAGGACAGATATGGTGTTTAACATCCACTTAACACAAACAAGGTCATTTCGGGACTAACATGGTTCAATTTTATTCAATAATTTGCTGGCATGTAGGGGTCTTTAGCAGTGGGAGGAAATCGGAGAACCCAGATAAAACCCACGAGGTTGGAAGGCAACCCTTCTCCTTTTCACGTACATGCGGGGAATCAAAACCATGCAACTTATGATACGATGAGCACACATTAACTATTCGGCCACCCAAACCCAAAGAGAGAGAGAGAGAAATGGGGTTTAATGTCCACTCAACACAAACTAGGTCATTTCAGGACTAACATGGACCCGGAGAAAACCCACGAGGTTGGAGAGGCGACCCTACTCCTTGTCACGTACAACCGTGGATTCGAAACCACGCCAGTCGACTCAATGACAGACTGTATGATACAGCGCGCGCACGCTAACCATTCAGCCATCCAACCCCCCGCCCAAACCTGAAACATAAGAATTTAAGGATATAAGTTTTACCTCTAAGAGAGAGCCAACCATCTTCTTGTGTATTATGTTTAGATAATTCCTCTTCTGTAACGTCTAATACCTGACCATTTACACTGGTTAAATCTTGTCCACTTCTTCCTAATCTTATCCAATCCATTAAAGATCGCCCTGGACTAAGTGCTACCTTTACTCGCGCTGGAGAAGAGCCATCCCCTGCAATCCTCTGAGGAGAATTAGAGCTAGGAAAGGATGGAATTGCTAAACTATTGCCTGCCATTTTCTCGCCTTTATGACTAGTGCTGCTACTACTACTATGAACTGGCGAGTCAGCTTTTGACTTCCCACACCCCAGTTTGGCAGATCTGAAAAAATTAATTGAATTAAAAGAGTAAATTGTTCTGTGAATAATAACAGAGACAAGTGATAGTGGGTCTAAGTTGATAAAGTTTTTTTTCCATAGACAAGTACAATTCTATAACCCCCGGGCCAACTATCTTATGTAATATTTTTTGGTATAGCATATAGGGCCTGGGCTATAGCTGAACAGTAATTGATAAGGAGAAAATTGTCTTTTTTTCAATGAATTGAATTGGTGGGTCACATCAATAAGTAATATGTTGCAATGTCAATTACTAAGGAAAATTTCTGCTGAAGATTTGATTTCAGTCTAACATACAAACCGCAGTAAGTGACAAGAAAAATGCGCCATTTTCATTTAGCTAAATAGCGACAACACATACTAGGTCATATCAGAACTAACATACATGTATGGTTCAACATTATATTCCAGCTATTGAAGTAGAATTCACTGTCATTATGGACTATAGGAAACCTTTCATAAAAATAGAATCTGACTCAGGATTAACAGACTTTATCATTTGTTTTATAGCATATTCCTTTCTCTGGAGAATTGCTTTAATGACAACACATAGCAAATATGTTATAGGCCTATGATGAAAAATAAAGACAAAAATATCTAGAATAACATTGACACAAAGACAGTATAGTGAATATTCCAAATCTTGTGGGTCCTCAGAAGATTATTATTAAAGGTATCAGTAGGCCTACTGTATATGAAATTTTGACACTGCTCAACTGGCTTTGATTCGGTGTTTTGAATCTACAGGTGTTCATTATTATATGTCCATGTAATAAGATACGGTATAATTGTTTAAATAAGAATACCATAACCAAACAATTTATTGTTGTTGGTTTTTTTTTTATAATACACCTTATGCAGTAGTTCATTCACAATATTAAACACAGAAGCTGAAAGGTTACATTTGATTTCATTAATTAATACCGGTATATTAAATCCCAGTCAGGGAGCAAGATGCCGTCAATCACATATCTGCTTTGTCCGTTAAAAGGAAATGATTTACTAATCTTACCTTTTATATCCCCTAACTAAGTGCACCGATAAGTAGTAAATATAAACGAAATGTCAGAGGTCCACAAGATAGGGTTGGTTGACTTATACATTTATTGACCAAGTTATGGTTACAGCCTATTGGATAGATCATTAATACTAAGCAACAAAAGTACGACCATATTCTACTATATATATCTTATAATAGATATTCTTTAGCTAATTTATATATTTCATACTTCAATATCAATGACAAGAAGTCAATGAATGACATTTTGTCATTAATCTAAGTCAAAGTGACGTCTGGAGTACTTACTATTTAGACTGCACAGCTACCAACACGAATCATTGAAAAAAAGATTCAACCATAATCTGTCTCATCAGTTGTTCACATATTAGATTTTATAAGGAGACTTATAAAACATATTTAGACTTTGACAAAATGCCAATTTTTTTATTTATTGGAGATGATTAGAAATGTTGATTTTATGTTGATAACCAGCTACAACCATTTCGACCTTTACGTTTGAAAAGCCGTCTGATAAGGGAAATAACTCTATATCCGGATGCAGGCAATGCAGACGTCTATCAATTAAACACAAGTGATAGAACTGGTAAAAGACATTCCAAATACAATTTTACCATAAAGATCTTTGCTACAGTTGATCCGTAACAAAAAATCGAGACAGGACGCAAATAAATTAAAGCGATTATCGACTGAATCGGGAGCAATAACAAGTACTGAAGTAGTGAAGTACTGACATGAATAGGCTAGATTTCCAGTCCATTATAATTCTTTTGATTCTTGAAGACGAAAGAGTTGTTATATTATGAGAGTGTGGAGTGTGATGGGATATTAATTAGAAACCAAACAAATAAAATAAAACCAAGTACGAACAATCCAAACCATAAGACAGAATTCGAAGTCCTAAAAAACGTTATAGACAAAATAGTGTATTAAAGCAAAATAGTGTAAGCACCTGTTCAAAATATTATCTTATTTCGGGGTCTAAGGGGCGAAATGAAAAGGGGTTTCAATATCAAACGTTTCTGTAACAACTGGGTCAGAGACGGGCATACGTACACAATGCAATGTGTGAGTGTGGTAAGGGTTAAATTTTACGTTTCATCAACTTATAATTAGGACTACACACGGGATATCGGTTTTTGTTCCATCCGAACTACATGTCGCCCTTCACGATGGGGAAACGTGGCTTGATCCCTGAACCCCTGGTTAATGGTTACTCACTGAGCCACCATGGCTCCCTCTTTGCAGCGAAGACCGAGACATTTTGCAGTTCCATTTACTTAAATTCCATTTTCCATTGACAACTCATATTTTGCACCATCCGTGCCTCTTGTAGTAGTAAAATAATCTCCGAAAATTTTGGCTATTTTGAACTCGTTTGCAATTTTTTCCCAGCTTGGAAATATTCCTAAGAAACCAAACATTAATTATTCTACGGTCATTATTGTGTAGATTGAAAACTAAACCCGATATAGGCTAATTTTTGGCGAATTCGGTGCCCATGCAAAAAGGTTTGCACCAGCTAGATCACGGCCAACGAATGCCATATATTGTAACTGGAAATTACAATGTAATTTTGTAAGTTGCTGTATATTGTAGGCCTATATGTACGAGATTGTTATAAAATAGACATTTTTGACAGATAAAATATTCCAGCTGGCGGAGAAAAAATATGAACAATTTTTTTATATGAAAATTATCCATTTTGGCGGGAAAAAAATGAAAGCCAGTGTGCACGTATTCAAATGTGACCTGGAAGTCGAGAGTACAACAACTTCCGAGGCGAAAAGTCGCCAGCACGACAAGAAGCCAAAACGATAGGTCGCTAATAGCGCGATGTGTCTATTTCCTAATTTCTACTTTCCGAGTTGCATTTTGGCTTGGTATGCGTCTTGGCGCCTTCTTACTGACACCAATAAATACAAAAAAAATATGACCAAGTCGAAAGTCGACAAGACGGAACACAAGCCAAAATGCAAGTCGAAAATTAGAAATTAGGAAAAAACGAGGGGCGCTATTATATATATCGGGGTGTATTATTTCTTAATTTTCTATTTTCGAGTCGATTTTGGCTTGCATAGCGTGCTGTCGCCTCACGAATGGTAGTTACATGTATATGAAAACACGACGAAGATCCGTTGACCAATAACCGAGATATGGGGAATCTGAGATTATTTTTTTGTCCCATCCATAAAACACTGACTCCTGTTTGTCAAAAATGACCCAATTTATATTTAATAAATAGATCCGCGGAAAATAACCACAGCATGTAGGCCTACAATTTTGGCTGCACACTCTGACTAAATTCCCTAAAAAAACAATTACGGAAACAATACTTGTTTTGACCGGTTAGCGGTTTTCGACATATCAGGTTACCACACATTTTATGTGGCACGACTATAGACCACAATTATCAACCGATTTCAATGAAACTTGCAGATTATAATTACTTTAATTATATCTCAGAGTAGCAAAAATTACATGTTTCGACCGAAGGTATTAAATATTCCATATACGATAAGATTGTTTTATTCACTATGTTTATTAAAATGAAAGTGGCGTGTATCATAGGTTGTTACCGGTAGTGGGGTTGGCTGTTGAAAGTTGACAAGACATTATACAAGCCAAAATGGAAGTCGAAAATTAATTCCGGTAATTAGGAGGAAACGAGGGGCGCTATTATCGCTGTGTATTATTTCTTAATTTCCTATTTTCAAGTCGATTTTGGCTTGCAATGCATAGTGTGCTGTCGATCGCCTCACATTTTGTCGTAACTTCGACTTCTCGGCTTTCGTGTTCTGAAGGGGCAAAAAGTAGATGAATGGTAGTTATAGGCTTCTATATATGGCGTATCTCCTTTCGTAAATGAAATGAAATGAAATGGGGTTTAACGTCCTACTGTTCTGCTCCTAAACTGGGCTAATGAAGACGGGCATACGCCATACAGTGTGCTATGAGGGAAATTTTGCCCGGGCAGCGGCGCTACGGTCTACTCTTATATCGAATTCCAACTGCCAAGGGATCTTTTACGTGCACGTCAATATGTACACGGCACCTCGGTTTATAATCTGCAAGTTTCATTGAAATCGGTTAGTAATTGCGTTCTGTAGCCGTGCCACATGAAATGTATGGTAACCTGATATCTCAGAAACCGCTAACCGGAAGTGGTCGAAATTTTAGCGACTCTGAGATATTATTAAAGTAATTATAATCGGCAAGTTTCATTGAAATCGGTTGATAATTGTGGTCTGTAGCCGCGCCACATGAAATGTGTGGTAACCTGATATCTCGGAAACCCGCTAACCGGAAGTGGCCGAAATTTTGGCTACTATTAGATATTATTAAAGTAATTATAATCTGCAAGTTTCATTGAAATCGGTTGATAATTGTGGTCTGTAGCCGTGCCACATGAAATGTGTGGTAACCTGATATCTCGAAAACCGCTAATCGGAAGTAGTCGAAATTTTTGCTACTCTGAGATATTATTAATGTTATTATAATCTGCAAGTTTCATTGAAATCGGTTTGTAATTGCAGTCTGTAGCCGTTCCACATGAAATGTGAGGTAACCTAATATCTCGAAAACCTGCTAACCGGAAGTGGCCGACATTTTGGCTACTCCGAGGCATTATTATAGTAATTTTAATCACCCAAGTTTTATTGAAATCGGTTGATAATTGTGGTCTGTAGCCGTGCCACATGAAATGTGTGGTAACCCGATATCTCGGAAACCGCTAACCGGAGGTGGTCGAAATTTTGGCTACTCTGAGATATTATTAAAGTTATTATAATCTGCAAGTTTCATTGAAATCGGTTGATAATTGTGGTCTGTAGCCGTGCCACATGAAATTTATAGAAAACCTGATATCTCGAAAACCGCTAACCGGAAGTGGTCGAAATTTTGGTTACTCTGAGATATTAGGCCTATTAATGGCATTATAATCTGCAAGTTTCATTGAAATCGGTTGGTAATTGCGTTGTGTTGCCGTGCCATATGTAATGTGTGGTAACCCGATATCTCGAAAACCGCTAACCGGAAGTGGTCGAAATTTTGACTACTCTGAGATATTATAAATGTCATTATAATCTGCAAGTTTCATTGAAATCGGTTGGTAATTCCGTTCTGTAGCCGTGCCACATGAAATGTGTGGTAACCTGATATCTCGGAAACCGCTAACCGGAACTGGTCGAAATTTTGGCTACTCTGAAATATTATTAAAGTAATTATAATCTGCAAGTTTCATTGAAATCGGTTGATAATTGCATTGTGTAGCCGTGCCACATGAAATGTGTGGTAACCTGATATCTCGAAAACCGCTAACCGGAAGTGGTCGAAATTTTTGCTGCTCTGATTGGCCCCCTATGCCTATGCATGTACGCGAACGTGTGCATGGGAGTTCGGTTTTTCGTCCCATTCAAACGACGACAGGATGTTCCTTGCCAGGCCTTCCGTCCTGCATGACTGACAAAGTGGCGCCATACTGGAAAATTCGGATGAACTTTCTTGCACAACATTGATCAAAACACGAAAGCCATTGATTCAGGCAGTCGAATTATTGACTTGAGAATATGAACACTATCGAAATGCCGAGTCACTCATTATTACGGATATGTAAAATCAATGTAGCACGTAAATTATAAAAACATGTGGATACGAACTGGTCAATTCTATCATACCATTGTATGTTATTTTAAAATGAAACATTTTCTTGGATGTTCTATAAATATGTCCCGACTGCGATATTAAGACTTGGGAGTAAGATGTTAAACCGCCATGACAAGACTACAGTGGTCAAACTGAAACATTCTGGGACGCCAATTCAAAATTCCAGGCATTTGCATTACACATGTGTGACATTTAGCCGCCTGATATCTAAAGTGAATTAACTCCATAAACCTGGTCTGCTGACCGCTATTTGCCCCCCCCCCCCCTAATAATTTTAGGGAAAAAAAGTATTTATGACATATTTCGATCGATAATCAATACCTTCTAAGGTGATTAAATCCCATATTTTCACTCGGTCATAAACTTGCATGCTACAGAATCCAAGTGATTTTTTACCCAACCCATCCTGCTGTAAACCTACTAGAAACAATAACACGTGAACCACTCGAGAAATGCTTTTTACGATCCTAAAAGTTTTTGGGTATGGGTTCAACGCGGCAAGACTATTCATTCACTTTGATTCACTCACTTCGTTCGCTAGTGATTTTGGCGACAGTTTCTGGTCAGCCCTATTTATATCGACGACCAGTGTATTGAAATACTGCCAGATTGCATTTCAGGCAGTCTATTTCTTAAAATATCGTAGCGAAAATATTCATTCACTTCGATTCACTCCCTCTGTTCGTTTTACACTTTCGTCTAAGGTCGAATAAACTAGTGATTTGTCGACGAACAGTATCTGATCAGCACTATTTATCTCGACGACCTGTGTCTGAAATACTGCCAGACTGCATTTCCGGCAGTCTATTTT